GGTCAGGGTTGACGGTTCGGGACGTTTGACACTGCGCAACCGGCGTTTCCTCCGTGCCTATACGCCGGACACACCCTGCACCCGTGAGCAGCCGGCTGCGCCGTTGCCGCCGCCCGCTGCTCTGGGCCATCAGTCCCCACCTATCCACCCGTGATGGGCGACGCCCCAGGGGATTGCTCAGCGGCCGGCTGTTGGACCCCGCGACTCAGCTATGGGCGCTTCCCCACCGGCACCTGCCGGTGAGGCGTCCTCTGACCTCACCGTTCCTACGGGTGCCTTCCTGGGCGCACCGGTGCCGCAGTCACCGGCGACGCTGCCCCAGCCTACTCGGCCAGGCCGCGTGAGGAGGCCGCCTGCATGTTACGAGCCCGAGTCCGGCAGCTGGATTTAGACCGTTAATCTATTCCGGCCCATAGTTTTCCGGTCTGGGGGGGGATGAAGAGTTTATCGCCGGCCACTAGAGGGCAGCGTCACTGCTGTCGCTGTCCAGATATGCCGTGCTTTGACCCGGAAGTGCCGAGCGGCCATTTTAGTTCACATGTTGTTCATTCACTCCGCCTCGAGTTGAGACGTTCATCCACTCACTCATGTAAGACTGTTTTCACTATTGTTTGGTGTGTCTTTACTCTATGTAATTGAATATATGTGTATTGGTCATGACATGCATGTATGTAGTACTTTGTCAGCTTATCCTGCGGCATTGCTCTGTTTCAGGGTGTCGTCACCCTTGTCATTAAAGTACCGAAACTGACATTGAGGAGTGTGTTTCTTCAGTGAGTTTGAGTGTACGGAAACAGATATCATAAAGAGCTTCATTGTCAATGCAGTAGGTCTCATCTGTGTTCTCGACCAGCTGGTGGACGGAGAGAGTGGCGTTGTAGGGCTCCACCACGGTGTCGGACACCTTGGGAGAAGGCACCACGCTGAAGGTGTTCATGATGCGGTCGGGGTACTCCTCGCGGATCTTGCCCATGCCAGAGCCAGTACCGCCACCCAGGGAGTGAGTGAGCTGGAAGCCTTGGAGGCAATCACAGCTCTCCGCCTCTTTCCTCACGACATCCAGGACGGAGTCCACCAGCTCGGCTCCCTCAGTGTAGTGGCCCTTGGCCCAGTTGTTTCCAGCTCCACTCTGACCTGATGTAGTGAATACAGTTAATTATTGGAGGAAACACACGGAAGCTATTCTTATGGAAGAAAAAATCTTCGTTTTAATATCAGCTCAGTGTATATTCACTTATTCTTCACACAGCTTACCAAAGACGAAGTTATCGGGTCTGAAGATCTGCCCAAAGGGACCCGACCTGACTGAGTCCATTGTGCCGGCCTCCAGATCCACCAGGACGGCTCGTGGAACATATTTTCCACCTAAAATCTGGTTGACAACGTCACTCCTCAATCTAACAAGCTTGTTAAGCATGCTGTGTTTAATGTAAAACTCAGACGTGTATGTAAATCATTTTGCATCTGGGGCTGGGTAGGTAAAGGAAGAAAATAGATTGTTGAATATGCTATGTGTGTTAAAGCTGAATATGTAACTTACCTGTGGCCTCATTGTAATAAACACTGATTCTGTCCAACTGTAGATCGCTGTCTCCATGGTAGGCACCGGTGGGATCAATGCCATGCTCATCGCTGATCACCTCCCAGAACTAAGGAAAAAAGAAACGTAGGAGGAAAGGAGAGAGAGAATGATGTTAATATAGGCCAAGGTAAAAATAAAAATGTACAAACTGAATATAGCTAAAAGTAGCTGAGTTCACTGAAATAGCACATACTATAGCTACTTTATACGAAGCTATTTTTAAACATGCAAAGCTAACATGTCTGTTTAATTATCAGATTAAATGCAGGTCAAAAGAGTAGTCCATTAGTCTGAGATGCAGAATGTCTCAGGAGTAATCAGCAGATGGCAATAATCTGATAAGTAACAGTGTCTTCCATTCTCGACAACCACACACACTCCAAACTACTAAACAAAACATTATTTAATGTTAAAACAACAAAATAACATCATGGATTGCTGTAAAATAGATATTTTGTGGCTGGGGTTGGCACCAAAATAATTATGTAAATAGGTCATATGGGGGGGGGGGGGGGTTGGGGGGGAGGAGGCTGCTATGACGAGTGCACACTGTAACTTTACATCTATCGTAAATCCTTAATGTAATTTCTTTCAGAATTCCACAAAAAAAGTAGAAAAGTAAAATATAAAGTTTGCATTTAATTATAAACATTGACTTTTTTATTTTCTTTGGCATAATTAAACGGTTGCACGAATCTTAAACCATCTGTAAACCCTGCAGAGAAATCAATGATCTAATCGTCTAACATTTTAATTTTGTACTCATTGCACAACGAGTCAATCTAGAGAGGACACTGCATTTGATTTATTCTCGGAAATTCTCAGAGGATGGAATGGATTAGACGTCTCTGTCCTCTCGCCTGCACCAGTCTCATCAAATTGACGAAACAAACACAGAAAGTAAATCAAAAGATACCTTGGCACCGATCTGGTTTCCGCACTGCAAGTGCACAATTTCGCACATTTTGGACAAATACGAGGATGGCCGAGTAGGAGATGAGAAATCTGAGCAGCAGAAATTCACAGGATGATGATGACTGCTGCTCTCGATCGTCCGGGATTTTCTCGCAGCACCGCCTCTCATAAAGTCTACTGGGCTGAATCGGTGGCGCAACCTGATGTCATCGCCATGGTAACCAAAGAACGGAGGAGAGAGGGAGGGACCAAGAACCGTGGAAATGGCGGATAGGGCGCTAGGATACGAGCTACATAAGCCATCGAAGATTCTCATTATTCTCCAAAAATTACTTCACTCACACCCCCTCCCCAACACACACACACACACACACACACACACACACACACACACACACACACACACACACACACACACACACACACACACACACACACACACACACACACACACACACACACACACACACACACACACACGCACGCACACGCACACACAAAACAAACACACACGGGGCGCCGTAGGGGGTGAAAAGTTAGGACGATTCTAAGGGCCCGTGATTGACAGGGGCTCAAACTATTTTAGAACATTAAGAATGTTTAAGTAACCAATGTGATATATTTTCATGGGGCCCAAAATCCCTGGCGGCGCCAAACACACACCCACGGCCTATTGTAGCGAGCGAGGTCTACAAGGTCTCTCATTTGCATTGTTAACAGTGTAGCCGATTGTAAGGCTCCATGATTTCATTACTTTGAAGCATGGCATCAATCAGCCTTGGCTCGAAAGGACAAAGATAGTAACATTTGTACTGGAGTTTGAGAACATCTTCTGAAGTATCAACTTTTTTATTATCCCACGTTCTTAGATGTTGTTTCTAAGTTAATGTGAACGCCAACACCAGGGCCGGCCCTGACCAATTTGCTGCCCTAGGCAAGATTTTTGCTGGGGCCCCCTCCCCCCCCCCCCCCCCCCTACGTTTTTTGGTAGTTTGATTTATTTTTAAATGAACACAAATACAAAATTAAAACCTATAATTGCACACAAAAACCATTATTTCAAAATAAGAACTATTTCACATAAACTTCTGGTTTGTACTGTAATTTACATTAATTACAGCAGAGGGAGCTGTCCTAATCAAGTGAAGAGAGGGCTGTAATCTACTTCCACATAAAAAATGTGGTTTCAATTTTGTGGTGCCCGTGTTTTTATAACTGGACACAAAAACGATTTAACAAAAAAAAATAGATTTTACAGAAACCACTGGTTTTTACCACTATTTACATTCATTCCAACTGTCTACTAAAGGCCTCAATCTCACACCTCAACACCTTACCTTAGCCTGACTCTCCTTGCCTTTCTGACCCGGGGGCTGCTGGGCTGGGGCAGTTCAACTTACCTGATTTGGGGGGGGGGGGGGGGGGGGGGGGGGTGCACCATAGTTTATGGGCGCTGTACGCAATATAGGCGTAGTTCTTTTAAGATAAGATAATGAGATGTACTTTGTTGATCCAAAATCGGGAAATTGTTTTGTTATGACATTTAAATAAAACATTTTCTAACATTTTTAAATGTTTAAATGTTTTCTTTCCCCCAATTTTTGGCGCCCTCCATGGGTTGATGCGCCCCTAGCATTCACCTATACTGCCTATGCCAAGGGCCGGCCCTGGCCAACACTGAATATGAACACTGAATTGTAAACCTTTGCACTAAAAGACAAATGCTATACTGCACGTTGTTTTTTTTCATACAGAATCAAGGATAACTCTAAAATTAAACATGCACCCCCAATTGCAATCCCACTTTACAACTTACCTTAGAAAAAGTAGGCTTTCAGAAGACATGTTCACTGTTTTGATCAGTCTATTTTTATTGCTATTTGAAATTCTGCCTTTTTTGGATTGCATTCTTTGCAGTCTTTCAGAATATAAAAAAGGATTACAATCCTCTGATCCTAAACAGTGAGCACCTGCAGCAAATATTCTGTTATTATTTCAAGACCTTCACCAATTATGTAACACACATGCTTAAGACGCATACAATGTACTATCAATGCCAATATAATTGAGTACCTATTACAGTATATTAACAAGAAGCAAGTGTTTTGTTTTTAGTTCATTAAAATCCTGTTTCTTTCGGAGCTGGCGTAGCCAGTCTGGGTCTTAAAGATGGATACCACACTGTAAACACATTTAGGAAACAATGCTCGTCACTAAGTTCACTGGTGTATAGGAAATGACTTGTTTGTTTTGACCTGGTCATTCCATTTTCAAATGGTGAATTGCTAACTACCCAATTAATTATTTACTAGACTAAAAACATTTGTGCCACATTCCCGTTCATTTCCTGAATCACGACATTTCAAACATGCAGTAACAACCCGTTTTAAGCTCACCCACAACTGGCCAATAGGGTTTAATTTCCTGTTTCCCAGCTTGGCTACATACTGGGTTGTTTCTCAGTGCTGCATGATTTGAGTTACTCCCACAAAAGTCATGCACAGGAAAACCAAGAGCCTTTGCTACTTCATGTCAAGAACAATAGATAGGCTGTCAGTGTGCTCTGAGGCTAGAGCATGGGCTAGAGAGACAAGTTTAACGAGGCACGCTAAATTATTATGCTACTGCCAGAGGAACCATTATAAGTACATGAGGACTTAAACCGGAGGATTTGTGCTGTTTTGAACTGTGGATTAACTGCATTGTACGTGACAAGCTACTGATCATGTCTCTCCCAGAGGAGGATCTCACATGTCCAATCTGCTGTGACATCTTTACAGACCCTGTGTTGCTGCCATGTAGCCACAGCTTCTGCAGGAGCTGTGTGAAGCGCTGTTGGGAAAGAGGCGTACGTGACTGTCCAGTATGCAGGAAAAGAGCCTCTACGGCCAGCCCTCACACCAATTTGGCTCTGAGAAACGTCTGTGAAGCCCTTTTGCAGGCCAAAAAGAATTCAATGTTGGTGGAAGAAACTTTGAATTGTATTCTGCACGGGGAGAAGTTAAAACTTTTCTGTCTGGTTGACAAACAACCCATCTGTGTGGTGTGTCAGTCTTCCAAACTGCACAAGGGTCACGACTGCTCGCCTATAGAAGAGGCAGTGCTGGACTGCAAGGTAAGGGGGAAAAAAATCAATGTGTTTCCAGACTTTATCGTAAAAGCAACCTTTTAAACGGACTCTGCTGTTTTTGGCCACCTGATGTATTCAAGGTAACACCCAAGGGTAGAATGCTGCCCAGCAAGTCTGTCCTGATTGTGAAAAAACTCCAGGGCCCAGATATTCAAAGCACTCATAATTCTGATACATCCTTATATAAAATGAAATGATCTCTGCTGACTCTCACCTGCTTGTCTTTCAGGATGAACTTGCTTTATCACTCAAGAACTTACAAGATAAAATGGACAGCCTCCAAAGGATTCAGACGACCTCTGCAGACATGTTCAAGTTTATCAAGGTAAATGTGATGAGATGTCAGATGTGTGGTTTTGAATGAAAAATAATTTGGTCAAATAAACCAGAATTTGCCTAATCTTCCTCAGAATCAAGCACAAGAAACCCAGACATTGATCGAGAGCCAGTTCAAGCAACTGCATCAAATCCTCTACGAGGAAGAGTCAGCCAGAATAGCTGCTGTTAAAAAAGAAGAAGAAGAAAAGATTGCAGGATTGAAGGATAAGATTAAAGAACTGTCAGCAGAAGTGCTATCGCTCGCAGAGACCATCTCAATCATACAGGAGCAGCTGGAAGAAGAAGATATGATCTTGTTGAAGGTCTGTACAGTCAGGTATAAATCAACCTTTTAATATTGTTCCCCAAAACCTCCCACCTTGACTGTGATTCTTTCTGTTTTCCAGAATTTCAAGGCCACCCAGGAGAGGTAGGTCAGCACAGTTATGGGTTTATACTCTTTGAGTTGACAATGCCATATTCTCAGTCCAAAATATGTGTTTCTATCACAGAGAAAGAAGCATACCTCTTGGTTCAGACAACTTGTCGGGGTTACTAATTGATGTGACAAAGCATCTCTGCAACCTCAAATATAAAGTATGGGAGAAAATGCTGGACAAAATTGACTATAGTGAGTACATGTCATAGCTATAAGGCTTCAAGGCCAAGAGAGTAAAATTGTTCAACCCAGACCGTGTTTCCTCATCAATTTTTCTGCTAATATCCTGTCTTTTAGCCCCTGTTATTTTGGACCCAAACACAGCACACCCCTGCCTCATCCTGTCAGACGACCTCACTTCCCTCCACTACTCAAAGCAGCACACTGGTTGCCCTGACAACCCAGAGCGCTTCCACATGAGCGCAGAAGTGGTTGGCATGGACGCACTGGGCTCAGGAAGCCACCACTGGATCGTGGAAACAGGAAGTAATCAGGACTGGCTCCTGGGCGTGGCCTCTTTGTCTGTACCTAGAAACTCTGAGGTCTGCGCTCGGCCTGAAAACGGCTTCTGGGCTTTGTGTTTACGGGACGGAGAGTTCAGGGCAATGACCTCCCCCCCGACCCCCCTGACACTTACAAGAGTGCCAAAACAGGTCAAAATGCAACTGGATTACAACAAAGGGACAATGTCTTTCTTTGACCCTGCTGATGACACACTCATTTATGCATTCACACACACGTTCACAGAAACTTTACTTCCATATTTCTATACACAAAACAGTCATCCATTGACAATAATGCCAGAGAAAGTACTCATCACAATGTTGCGCCAATAAGCGGATGAAGGACAGGGATATTTGTATTTAGTGATTTACTGGCTGAAATGTTAATGTTCTTTAGAAACATGTTCTGTTTTATTTGTTGTAATTATAATTAGGCTACATTCAAACAGCAACCAATATATCAAAGCTTTAACAAAAAAAAGTAAATAATATTAGTGGCTGTCGTCACTCATTTATATAGGCCTGAAACTTGACAACTTTCACTCTAGATTTTGCAACTTTGGGAGTGGATGCTATAGCAACTGCCATTGGAAAAGTTGTCAAAATTGGCTTAGGTTATTCTCTGGAAGGTCAAGCAGCCAATATGGCTCTTCCAATCACAATTTATGTCATACATCCTAAAATGCTGGATAAATGAAAGCTCAAACCTTTAAAACAAGCTGCAGCTGGTTTGGTCCTGCCTCCAAACGAGGTGCAGCACCACCGGCACTTTAAGTTTGGGAACCATTCAGGTATAGTTCCTAAACAAAATGAAAAAGAATAAATATGAAGTTTGAGTCCATCCATAAGTGGGTTATGGTTTGTGGCCTGCAGTTTCCTTATGTTTAATCATTTTGAATGGCCTTATGTCTGATTGTATAATACTGATGCACATGTTTTCTATGATTGTTCTATTGGTAATTATTTTTATTTTATGTTGGTTTTGAATGAAGGATACGTGTCTAACCCTTTTAGCACAATGCACTTTAAGAAAAACACACAAACTCACACAAATCACATTCTTCACACAAGGAAGGATTAGACTTTACAGTTGAGTTTATTGGTCACTTTTGTACACATGATGGCGCCAAAACCAAAGTAATAAAGGTGTTCATTGTGTAGAGTCGACTGTATCACACAAATAAATATTGTGCTGTTTTTGAAAATGTATCTTAAACATGATTAGTTTATGAAAACATTATAGTAAAAATGTTGACTCATTATTTATGAGGTTCATCTTTTTTCAGGATTATCTTTTTTCAATCTACATAAAATAAATCTAATCAGTGAAACACATGTATCAAATAATCAAACCAAGGGTCAATATGTGTATTATTTCTTCTAAGCAGGTGGGATTTGTGCAGCTGGGGTTTTGTTGTTCTTTGCATTAACACAGATACAGCACTTTTTCAGGCAGGTGTCTGAGAAGAAAGGCACCTTGTCCAGACGACATAGATAGATAAGCGGCTGGATGGTGCTGCTGATGTTAAGGAAAGCGAAGCCCACAGGCTGCACGTAGCAGCGGAACACATCAGGGGAGTAGACGTCTTCAAAAGGAAACAGTGCTACAGGTGGCAGGTAGTTAAACACAATGATACAAAGGATGGACAGCACTGTCTTGAAGGCCTTCTTCTTCATGGGGTGCATCTCATCTTTCCCTCCTGCCCTGCTGGACTTCTTCAGGGCCCACAGTATGCTCACATTACACAAGACCATCCAAGTAAATGTTGCCAGCATTTCACCAGTGAACACCTTTTCAAAGTTGGGGAGGCCTCCCACAGCCTTGGCAGCAGAGTAAGCAAAGGTAAGGCAGAATACCAGCAATGAGAGGCTTAACCTATAAATGATGGGTTTAAACTGCCCAAACCTTACTGGAAAGATCACAGCTACAAAGCGATCTAGGCAGATACAGGATAGAAACAATGGCCCACTAGTGTCTTTTACACCATAAGAAAACTTGACTGCTGACCAAACTTCTTTGCTCTGCCAGTAGTACAGGTTAAGGAAGATGAGAGGGGGTATGGCACTAAAATAGGCATCCATGAAAGCCAGGCAGCCCAAGAATATGTCTGAAGTTGTGGGTTCTTTGCGATTTCGGATGAGGATTGCAATGACAAGTAAGTTGGCTGGGAATCCCACGATAACGTTGATGCTCTGGAGGGTCAGATCAAAGAGAATACCCTCTACCTGATGGTCGCATCCGTCAAACACACTGAAGGGTTCTGCTGTGGCATTGGTGCCAGCAGTGGTGTTAAGAGGGAGTAGAGTCTGGACAGTGGTTGAAGAAAAATTTCTCTCCATGATTTTGTCACTGCAAAAGGACCCTGGTGGAAAAAGGAAAATTAATAGTGGTTAGGGTTTACCATTTTCTAGACATCATTCACTCACTTACAATACAATTTCCCATTAACACCAGGGCCCAGGAGTTCAAAACTTTTAATCCCTATCTGGTCGGATCAGATTTGGATTTTGGGGAGTTCAAAACCAAAAAACAGGATTAGGATCACTTTGATATCCGATCGGATCAGGAAATCCAATCCAAGCTTTAATCTGGATCACATCTTCAAAACGGGTAGTTCAAACCGACAACACAGGTTTGGGATCAATTTGATCCCAAAAAACTGGATTATCCTGATCCCACCAGAGGGGTGGATTTCCAGTGGATTACCAGAGCAAAATGTACTGTACAATTTATTTTAAAATATGTTTCAATTTAAATTAGATGGCAAAGTTTGTTAACTGAAATAATACACAATTGTTAGCCTTCATGGGAAATACATTGTATTTTTTCCATTTTTGCTCACGTTTGTGGTGGCCTATTTTGTTTTCAACCAAATGTCGATGACATAAATGTTTATGCTCATAAAATTATCACAGCAAAGATTGTCAATCACAAATGTAATTTAGATTAAAGTAAAAATATCTTCAACAAAAAAAAAGTCCATCATCTGTCATCACCTTTCAAATAAAAATATATAATTAGACATTATAGATGTCTCTGCAATGTGGTCTCTTGTCTTCCTTGTAGTATTTTTCATATCCACTAGATGGCGCTCGGTAGGATTAAAGCACTGATATTCAGGATCTAGTCATCTTGAAAAGTCGTAATCTGGATCAGGGTAATCCTATCCTGAATTGATTTGAACTCCAGGGACAACATTTGGCCGATTTGTCTGATCCTGGATTACAAAAAATGGGATTTCAAAATCTGATCGGATCTGATTGAGATTAAAAGTTTTGAACTCCTGGGCCCAGGTGTTTATCATGGAAACTTGTATTTCATCTTGTGTTCTTGCTCTGAAGCACATTAGAAGCCTTGTTTCTAGTTTGCTGAGAAGTTAATTCTCAATAGAGTTCAACTCGCCACAGAGTAAATGAGACATTTCCCAGAGAGCAACAAAAACATGTTACAAACAGCGTCAGGGCTTCTCCTCAGGCTGTTATCTTGTTATTGTGTCTGTGTGGACCTTCCTCTGGGAAGCTTGACTCCCCGTATATAGGGACATCTAACTCACTTAAGGGACTCATACTAAAAGCCCCACCCTTTTACTGCAGAATAAAAGGGCAGCTATACTCAAATTAAAATGGCAGAGTTCATATGTTGCACGTAGACAATTGTTTAAGATTCTTAAGAGCAGTCATTTCCTGGAGCTCTTGAAAGCCTGTTTCTGACATTTAGCTATTCCTAAAGCTAATTTCTGACCAGAAAAGGATGGTAACACGAAAGATGAATGCAATAATGGCTGGATTGATGGAATAATAACAGGAGTCAGATATGAAGGATACCATTAAAAGGTGTACTGGGCCTTGAGCTCAGTGTCTCTGTCTTTGGCCCCTACAGGAAGATCACATATCTGGGGAGCTTTTTTAAATCCCTAAATGTCAGGTTTTGTTCTAGGCTCCGGGAACATTACATGTTCCGGGACTTCGTGCAGCTGCTCTGAGTCAGGCTGATTTGCATTAGTCTTTTGCACATGCAGTACACCTGAGCTCCTTCCACTGAATGGACTATTGGAGCCAGAGGCTGTCATTGTTCTTTGTACAGCCATCAAGGGGCCTATTCTGGTTTAATGTGGGCCTTTCGTGCCCTCCTTCTCTCAGTGGACAGGGCTTCTCACCTCCCCGTGCTGCCGGCTCCACCTCAGGCCACACACACTCCTGTGGGGCTAATCACTCTGATGGAGGAGGGAGACGTTATTTGCCAAGATAATCGTCCCTGGAGATAGCAGACTTAATCAATTGTGTTTTTCTTCAGGCATATCTAATGAAAACGAAATAAACAAAACAGAATTATTGTAATGTTTTTTGGAGGATTTAATTAGATGCTGTTTTACATGCACTCCGGAATTTTTTGTTTGGTAAAAGTAACTTGTTTTTTATATTTGTTACAGTTTTAACTTTTAAATACAATTTAATGACAGTGAAATATACATATATCACTTTTGCCTATTGTAAGTACAAACTAATGCCAGACAGCAACAATAGGAAAAAACTATATGAGAATAAATTCAGTGTAACTATCTTTGCAGATTTCAGAAAATATTCAAATGATCGCATTTTCCTACTCAAGATTAAAAATGCCAAACATTTCAACAGTTAGAGTATCATTACAAAAACTAGGATGCTATTGAGTTTAGTATGCCATGCATATTGATCTATGATCATCAGTAAGTCTCAAATATTTCCAGTCCGTATATTTTGAAATAACAGGAGCAATGAAAGGGGAAAACCCACTTAAACTTAATTGATCTACATTGTTTAATCCAAAATGACATGCAAAATGGAGATAACCATTTTTCTAGGTAGTAATTAACACATTAAAATATATGTATATTATATTAATTCATCAATTAGAAAGTCTTGCCTCTTTTAATGCCATGTATTGATTAAAGATCCTCGATTAGACTAAAACTTTGTGACCAAAAGGACCCGTGGAGGTTTTTAAAAGTTCAAATGTTTTTTTACTCACCAGTGTTGAATATTCTTCTGTTCTGTATGTAGGATGACGTGTGTGTGTTTCAAGGGTTCATTTATAAGTTATCCGAAGTGTCGTGACTTTGACGCTGACCAGGAGGGGAGGATCTCCTGGAGTTTTTGATTTCATGAGGGAATAATGATTCTCCCAGTCCTAACTGTTTATAAAGATGCCTTACTTGAGGTGCCAAGTGTTGTCAGCGGCCATTTACAGTAAACCTACAACGCTGAGGACCTGATCCTGAAGACCTGGTATTTTGCTTTGAGTCACTTGTACTTGATTATTTCAATTTTTTTACAATTCCACTTCATTTGAGAGTCAACTTATTGTACGTTTTAGTGCAATTTGAACTCTTCCAAGGTGAAAGACTTGAGAAAACAAATCAACAAAAAAACACAATATACCATTTTTACCTTTATCATCAAACGAACTAAAGATGTATTTGTTTGATTTTTAGAATGTTATTGACAAGGGCTTATTGATGTTTGCCACTCTCTTATTCCCTGGTGTCCTGGCTTCTCGATCTAGGCTTGATAAATGTATTCAGGGGGCATCATGGGACCGATCTGGTGCTGCTGAGGGTTTAAATCCTCACAGCACGTCATCCTTTTTTCCCTGCACAAGAACAATTTAAAAAACGATCAAAGCTATCAAAGACTCCTGCTGAAGTGTCCACCATTTAACAACTAGGAAGGAAAGGACACAATAAGTGTATAAAGTGTGTGAGTATGTGTCAGGGTGTATTGGGTAGT